AAATAGAATCATTAAAATCGGTTCACAATCTGCGAAGATATCGCTTAACATAATACAAAAAAACAACATACACTCTAATTGAGAAACTACTCCTTTTGAAGGCGGTTAATATAATTTAAAATTGAAAATTTTGTACAGCCGACTTCAATATAAGTTATTAAGAATATCTCAATAACTACTGGTCTGACCTTGATCAAATTCATATGGGACCACACGAGAAGTATCAGCTTTCACATAAAAAAGAGTCATCGAAATCGGTTCACCCAGTAAAAAGTTATGAGGTAGCACACATAAAAAAAAAAACAAAAAAAATACAGTCGAATTGAGTACCGTCTTCTTTTTGGAAGTCAGCAGAAAATCCTCAGTGTAGGTGTTAAAAATATCACAACGTTTTTTATTAGTGATCGATGCACAACATGCTAGATATATTAAAAGTGAAAACATCGTGCAATGACACACCCATGACACAAACACATTCCTTACCGTTACCGTTACAATGTATTAAAGTCCATTGGTGCACATAGACTTCTCTCTCCTGATTTGTTTCCCGCTGTCGTTTCTTATGACACCCACGGGATGATATGGGGTAATATATATTCTTACATCGCCACTACGCATTTTTTAATGGCGCCTTAACGTCTAAATTGAGAAAAAAGTATGTAAAATAAATAATAATACAATCGCCTCTTAGAGATAATACCGCGTTATTGTGCCTATCTCCTTAAGTTTTACTCTCTGTAATCTGTTCTTTTATTGTTTCTGTGGTGGACAATTAAGTATAATATATAATAATAATATATCAAAATGTCATCTATTCAAATTCTTATTATTATTAAACACACTTTCACTTTTACAAATACGTTTACATCGCGTGGACTTAAATGACATTATTACGGCCCAAATACTCAAACGTTGCTTAATTTTAAGATGTCGTTAAGTCTTTGGTGTCACAGTCACTTCGACTTAGAGTGATGGAGACAGCACGAGATGAAGCGGCATCTTTTTTTAATAGAAATAGGGTAACAAACGAGCACACAGTCCACCTGATGGTAAGTGTATATAGTGGCCCATAGATATCTACATTTATGCTCGATTAAGAATCAAAATACAGATGCGTTAACATGCCTGAAAACTAAGATGAAATGTTTAACGTTTCCAGTAAAAAAGGATCTCCGGTTCTTTACACTCACCATACGAAACACAACATTGAGCTGCTATTTTACGTTGGTATTATGTGAGAGCGTTGTCCTACCCCGGTCCAGCCAACCCATTCGTGCAAAAACCATAATTTTTAGGGTTCCGTACCTCAAAAGGAAAAAACGGAACACTTATAGGATCACTTTGTTGTCCGTCTGTCTGTCTGTCTGTCTGTCAAGACCCTTTTTCTCTAGAACGCGTGGAGGTATCAAGTTGAAATTCATATCAAATACTTAAGTCTACTGTCCCTTGGAGCTGTGAAAAAATCAAACTTCTAAGCCAACGCAATCAAAAGATACAGCCGTTTATGTCGCAAATATTATGCCATAAGGGAATCAAAACCTACAGGGTACTTCTCGTGAACTCAGAATCTTAAAATTTGGTACGAAGCAACGTATTATAGCACAGATAAAGGAAAAATTGCGAAACGCATAAATTTTTAGTTACATCATATAACAAAAATCTTTTTAATAATTTTAACCTACGGATTTGTTCGGAACCCTCGGTGCGCGAGTCCGACTCGCACTTGGCCGGTTTTTTTAATTATTAAATACACTTTTGCTCGCGTGGGCTTAAATGGCATTATTAGTGTTCTACGCTAAATACAGGAAAATCTCGTTATCTATCAGCTTGATATACTTTCACTCTGTAAATTATTCATTAGATTTTGTGCCCGAACTTAACCGCTGGCGGATTACAGCGTAATACGATTTTGTGTTAAATGTCTGCACATGTGAACTTTTAGTGAAAACAATGAAACCAGGGTTCCTGTGGTTCTCGTTTTGAGATACTATCGACATCGAGTGTCTGCTGACTCAAGCTGCCGCCAAAATATCCCAAAAACTTGTGTGGACTGACTCATCAACATACTGTTAATAACTTTTTAAAGAAATGTTTATACAGTACTAGTGGCACCCGATGCGTTGCTGCCGCAGAAGAAATAATTGTTCAAATATAGTTTTAAATTTGGAAGAGTTATGTTGTTTAATTATGAATAATAATACATTGTTTAAAGTTGAATGATATATAACATTAAAGTAAGTTAAGTAAGTTAATTGTACTATACCTATAACAATTGCACAAGTGCAAGCAATAAGTTGACAAAGTTTTAGCGTAATCTGATGTACGGTATGGCAGCACATAAAATACGAACGAACAAAAATCACATTCCACAAAAAAATGTTTACGTTCTCCACCTGATGTTAAAAGTCTAATGCAGCCCATAGACACGTTTAACAGTCTTTAAATAAAATAGGCTACTCGTACATTTTTTTAAAGAATAAGGGTGACAAACGAGCACACAGTCCATCTGATGGTAAGTGGTTGCTGTGTCCTACAGACATCTACATCTATCTTCGTTTGAGAATTAAAATGCAGATGCGTTGTCTGCCGTGAGGACTAATATAGAATGCCTCTTTTCCAGTAAAAAGGGTCTCCGGTTCTCTACACTCACCATACGAAACACAGCAGCATTAAGTTGCTATTTTACGCTGGTATTCTGTGAGAGCGTGGTCCTACCCCGGTCGAGCCGATCCATTCGTGCTACAACTATACTATTAATATAGCTGCAGCATGGCTCTACCACGTAATGCAGTACGGCTCTACCACATATTCGGGAAAAAACCCTTTGTCCTGGGAAGAATCAGCAAAAAACCCAACGGGACCTTTTTTTAAGCCAATTTTACATTATCGGTTGAATAAACTTTTTACAAAATTTATTTTAGAAACAGCTTGGAAGCGACCACCTCATTCCCAGATGTTATTATCAACCATGTATTCATTTATATTATAATAACTCTTTTTACAACCATGTATCCATTTATATTATAGTAACCCTTTATATACAGTTTTTGTTTAATTAAATATTTAAACTTGGTAATAGAGAGACCTTGCACATTTTCTGGAACTTTGTTGTAATAGAGTATACATTGCCCCAATAATGAATTACTGACTCTATGGAGTTTAGAAACTGGTATCACTAGCTTGTTTGTTCCTAGTGTTTACAGAGTGTAGTGTTCGCCACGCTGCCCTAATTGGTGGATTTCACATGTTTTTGAAATATTTTTTTCTTATTTCTGAGACATGCAGGTTTCCTCACGATGTTTTACTTCACCGTCGAGCACGTGGTAAATCAGTACTTAAAATTACAATTAACAGTTTCATTGATGCCAGCGGGGATCGAAGTTTGATCTAAATTGCTTGCGTACTGAGAAATTTACAGCAACCGCTTAGTTCCTGAGCTACTACGGCTCTATTATGGCTGTAGTAAGAAATAATTGACGTGGTCAGGGAAGGAATAATCTTTAGTAGATTGGTCCTTCCCTGACCTGATACTGTGTTTCATCTAGTCTACTGAGATGTCACAGCTGTTTGCCTGTTAGTTTTTACATGTTAATCTATCTCTGGCTTTGCTGTGATTCGTATAGTGACAGACGAAATCAGGATACTTTTTTTATAGGATAGAGTGACAAACTAGCACACAGTCCACCTGATGGTAAGTGGTAGCTGTGACCCGTAGACATTTACATCTATCCTCGTTGGCGAAAAAATGCAGATGCGTTGTCATCCGTGAGGAATAAGATGGAATGCCTCTTTTCCAGTAAAAAGGCTTTCCCGTTCTCTACACTCACCATACGAAACACAGCAGTGTTAAGCTGCTATTTTACGTTGGTGTTCTGTGAGAGCGTTGTCCTTCCCCGGGCGAGCCGACCCATTCGTGCAACAACTATATTAATAATAATAGCTGCAGCATAGCTCTACCACGTACAAAATATACTATCCTCACTTTCAATTTGTCACTTTTTAACAGTGAATAGGCATTCCAGATACATCTGAAATTTGATTACACAGTCGGGTGTCGGTTGCATAGCTTGTTTGTTTGTCACTTTTACCGTCTACGAAAAGTAGGTGTGCCTAGGGAACTTGATAATATAATGATTACCGAAAGTAAAAATAATTGAATTGGTCACGGAAGGCACACTCTACTAAATACTGTGTTTCATCTAGTATATATTCTGAGATGTCAGAGATGTTGGTATTTTAGCTTTTACAGCCTCATCTGTCTCTGGCTTTGCTGTGATTCGTATAGTGAGAGACGAAACTTTCACTTCGTCACTTTTTAGGGTTCCGTATCCAAAGGGTAATCAACGAGACCCTATTACTAAGCCTCGACTGCCCGGGCGTCTGTGTGTCAACAGGCTGTATCTCATGATCCGTAATAAGTAGACAGTTGAAATTGAAAATAAATTACTCCACTAGAAACCTTTTTTACGATGATGACGTGGTGATGAAGCGTTCTAGATACATCTGAAATTTAATCACATAGTCAGGTGTTTGTTTGTCACTTTTACCTTCTATGAAAAGTATGCCTCGGGAACTTGATAATATAACGATTTCCGAAAGTAATTGAAAACTGTTGCCCTGGTTAAAATCAGTCAGAACATCGTGTAACGTATAATTTAATGAAGTCATTCTCATATTACCAGTTATTCGACCTTTCGCCGGAAACATACAGCGTGTGGATCTGTTGAATAACAGATTACCGACTAATCACTTCAGTTTAATTTGCACGCAAGTGTACACTGCAACTGTAATTGCGTAATTGACATTTGAATTTTTTTTAAAAATGTATTTCGTAACATCATCCAGTCTTGTTTTGACAGCGGTTTATAATATATAAGTACAATTTTAAATTATTTCCTTTCTAACAGAATTATTTTCTTTCTCAGGTACAAATATTAAGATTATCTCACAGCAGAATAAAAAATATAATGGGCTAGTACTACAAAAAGTCGATCGCAAACATGAACGAAAGCAGAGAGCGATTTCGACGCGAGAGGGAGAGGGAGAAAAATACATACACCTCTCCTCGTTTGGCACTTCGTCGCGTGCTGCTGTTGGCTGAAGGGAGACAGTTTCGGGAAGCGGCTGCCATCTTGTCCAGACTTGGTCCGGGCGTGTTACAGAGTGTAGCATCTGAGCTGCCGATAGATCTTCTTATTGAAGCTTTACCACATTCTACACATTTAATTGAAACATTATTAAATAGGTAAGTTCGTACATATATATGTCTATTTTCTCTCGATATCTTTTATTTTGGGCTTCGGTAACATGATCACTTTTTCTTTAGTAGCGTAGGCCATTCTTATTCTCCCTGCTTAATGCGGCGCTCATAAAACTTTCAAAGTACATTTCTGTCCCTACATTTTGCTTATATTATGATTATTATTGTTTCACTTATTATAAGCTAGTGCTTGACTAGACCCGGTAAGTGGTGATAAAAACCTAGATGGTAAATCAAACTGTTTTAGTGTAACTAATATATGGTCGAGCCACGTTGCAGCTTTTGTTATGGTTGTAGAACGAATGGAACGGCTTACTGGGGTTGTTGTTATTTCTTACTATGGCACGACCACGTTTTTACTGAATACCAGTGTTAAATAGCAGCTTAATGCTGCTGCGTTCCGTATGGTGAGTGTAGAGAACCGGAGACCCTTTTCACTTGAAACGAAGTTCCATCTCAGTCCTCAGGGATGACAACACATCTGCATTTTATTTCTTAATTGAAGTCTATGGGCAATATAATTTATTTATCATTAGGTGGACTATGTGACTCGTTCATCAAACCTATTCTATAAAAAAAGCATATTCATATTCCTTGAAAACATCCACATAGTAATTGGACGTAAAGACAGAGACGCTGGCAAGTTATTTCATTCCTTTGCCGCATGCAAGAGATGAAGCAAACCATTTGGTTTGAATACGTGGAATATTTACGATAAATTGACGAAGATCCAACCTTCTGGTTGTCTGATGATACAAAGGGGACGGAGAAATAGTTAAATCCTTATTCAATGATGATCTTAAATGCACAAAAAGCGGTGTTAAATTGCGCCTGATATTTCTTTTCATCGTCAGCAAAATTTCACATTTGCGTCAATAAGTTCAATAACGGCAAAATATTTTTTTCATTTAAATCTAATTTAAATAAAAAGAGATAAGAATCGCGTTAATTGGAACAATGATTGTTCATCGCGTGCGCATCACAAAGTGTAATAAATAATTACGTTTGTCAATTTCTCTCCACGTAAGGTGTTGCGGTAAATATTGAACGCGTAACGTATATATACACAACGCATCCGTGTGATGAAATGACTATTTTTTGTATAGTTTAATTGGATTATTGAAGTAAACAGTAATTTTCGCAACAAAGCTTACATAATTTTGCATTATTAAGCAATACGACTTTAAATTTTTGTTTTGTTACGTTACGTTTTATTTTTCGTTTTTATCGCATTTCCTATAAGAGATGACACAAAGGGTGGACTTAATGCCTGTAGGCATTTTCTACCAGTCAACTCAAAGAGAGGCGAGAGCTGTTAGATCTGATAGACTGTTAGAAATGATGGACCGTTCCCATGGTAAGAAGAAAGAAACAGAAACTGAAACAGCTAGAAGAAGTTGATACTTTTAATCTTTTAGGTTTGAAAGTAGATTCAAACATCAATTGGAAATCGCACATTAATTATATAAAGTTTAAAATTTCAAAATTTACGTATGCTTTATTTCAAATTAAATACACCACTGACACATCCACGGTATTGTCAGCTTACTATGCTTATGCTCATTCGTGGTTTAAGTACGGAATTATGTTGTGGGGAAGTAGCGTCGATGTGCAGCAGCTTTTTATTACCCAGAAGAAGTGCATTAGAATACTAGCCCAGATAGATAACACTACTAGCTGTAGACCGTATTTCAAACAACTAAATATTCTTACCTTACCCTGTATGTACATTTATGATCTATGCCTGTTTGTCCACAAAAATAATAATATTTTTAAGAAGATTAAAGATACACAACATAACATAAATACACGTAACAAAAATTAATTATACTTACCACAGCCGCGAACAAAAATGTTAAATACAAGCCCCTACTATATGGCAATAAAAATATATAATAAATTACCACAGGAAATAAAAAATATATCAGAATTAACCAAATTTAAATCAAGACTCGGTAAATATTTAAAACAAAACCCCTCCTACTCAGTAGAAGAGTATTTAGATATAAAATAACATTATTATATATTTTTATATTTTTTAAATTTTACATAATACTTAATTTTATCAACAATATTAAAAACTACGATAATAAAAAAAAAAAAGCTAAAACTAGAAACTTAATTATCATATAGTCCTACTCCCCGCGGTAAAATTTTTTTTAAATCTTTTAATTATATTTTATGTATGTTAATAGTATATAAGCAGTGCCCTTGTCAAATTTGCAGTGCTTGAAAAGGGCGTCTAAGTTGTAAGCACATTTTTAATTTAAGACCAATTATGTACACTTGGATTGCAAATATATGATTTGATTTGATTTGATTTTATTCAATGTAGATTGTAAGTAATACTTATTGAAAGTCACTTTTAATTATCACTGGTTCCGAAAAAAACCTCTGTCCTGGAAAGAACCAGCAATAAATCCAGCGGGATTTAAAAAAAATAACAGCTTACAATCATGTATGTTACACAATTAAGAACACAAAACAAATCAGAAATAGCTTGTCAGCGATCACCACACGAAGAATTTGCCATAATTGTCATGCTTGACAGGTGGATTAAAGAGATGTTTTGCACCTTTCACGCTGCACCCAGTCATCGTACATTGCTTATATTTTTAATGCAAACAAAAATTAACAATAAGGCTTCTTCCTTATTTGTGCTATACTCATCACCGAATATTAATTTTATTTGTTCGCGGCCGCTTACGTATTCGTCACGCTCGGCCGAACACAGGGTCATTGTCGAGTGCGAAGTGATTATGAGAGCATGTAGTAATGTTCGCGTTGCTTATTCTTTTAATTTTGTTGTAAAGTAGTATGACTCGTTATGTCAGTCGTGTGGACATTGCTGTAGTTACTATTATTACCATATCCTTTTTATATACCTTTATTCATATAAAATACACGCATTTACAATAATAATAAATATCGCCAAACTGTACAACAGTTTGTTGGCGATAATTGCGCTCTTTGTTATACATACACTAGTAGACGTTGTGCTGCCCTTTCCAACGACCATTTGCTTTACTATAAAAACTTCTGAGATTAGCAATAAAAAACTTGAGGGTCACTTATCGGAATAAAAACTAACCTATCTCTCAAGTCGGACCAAACTGCATACAGTGTGCAAAATTTCATAGAAATCAGTTCAGTAGTTTAGGAGTTCATCGGGGACAAACAACGTGACACGTAATTTTTATATATAAAGATTAATATGTATTTTATGTTACATATACGAGGCAGCGCTAAAGTTATTACATTGAAGGAAAGGATTTATCCTACTTCCTTGAACATACACAACTAAAAAAATATATAACAACTAGCTGTTCCTCACGACTTCGCCCTAGTGTTATTTGGAGTTTTAATTTTTTTTCCGCGGAACCCTAATTCTTTTTCTAAAATAAAAGTAGCCTAAGTTACTCCTTGTGATGTCAGCTATCTGCCAGTGAAAATGCCATCAAAATCGGTTCAGCCGTTTCGGAGATTAGCCGGAACAAACAGACAGACAGACAGACAAAAACTTTAAAAATTGTATTTTTGTCATTAGTACCGTATACACTTTCATATGCATTTAGTAAAAAGCTGTAATTTTAACATTACAAACAGACACTTCAATTTTATTTATTTGTATAGATTAACATCCTAGTCGCGGTAACCTTTTTTTTCGTTTTTTGCCTAATTACCTATGACTATTATTTATTCTGTGCTATGAATGGGAAAGTGTAGGTAAATAATCACCTGCCGCACCGTTACCGCCTTTACAGGTCACTTCAGGTCAGTAAAGTAATATTATCAAGGTCATTTATTTCGTGTCAATTTTTACGCTATTTATTTTGTTTGAAAGATGCATTTTTTTTTTGTTAGACATATATGAACTTGTATTTACCGCTGTGTTATTTAATGTGATAACCTAATCGCCACCCTAAATACTTATCTTAGGTATACCTATTACAATAAATGTCTCTACTTTAATTAATACTTATTATATGTAGTACCTTATACTTTACTATACTAGGCGATAGAGGGGAAATTTTGTTATGACATGATCAGAGAAACTACTAGAAGTCCGTCAGTGTTAAGGGGCGTCCACTAATTACGTGGGGTGTTTAGAGGGGTGAGGGTGTCGAGACGAATCTCACCCAATCTTACGTGGTGCCTCGGCAAATATTACCTAATTTTTTCCTCAAGAAACAGTAAACCGTACACAATAATATTTATAGTATTTATGCGAACTCCACAAATTATATAAAAATAATTAAGCATTTCTTTAAAATAAACATTTAAGACCGGCAACGCATCTGCGATTCCCTTGGTGTTGCAGTTGTTCATGGGCGGCGGTAGTCACTTACCATCACGTGAGCCGTATGCTCGTTTGCCCCCTCTCCTATAAAAAAAATAACGCAATCAAGCACAGCTTTACATTAAAAACACGCATTATGAAAAATATCACGTGAGGTTGGGGGAGGGGGGTGAGCGGGTCAAGCCATATCTTCCTACATCTCACCAAGAGGAAGGGGAGGGTAGAAAAATCGCCAAAATCGCTTCACGAAATTTATGGACGCCCCATTACTGCCATATCTCTTTTCCTGTACCCTATATCTCTTTCCTTCCTTCTCTTTCCTATATCTCTTCTTCAAAATTTAAGCTACCACTGCTATGTTAGTCTGAAGGCCTCTAGAGGACATCTTAGTTCCCAGAGGTGCTAATCAATCTTTAGTGTTCTTTTTAATGATGGTTGTAGTTGCTCGTGGGCTGCAGAGTGTGCACTGTCAAGTGGACGATTATATCAATATACATAAAACAATTGCCGCATGTATGAAAGGTTATCACTTGAAAAAAAAAAACGAGTGGAACGATTATGATGACATTATTCGTATATGTCTGAGTCGGTCCCCGGATGGTTTCAATATACAATTGGATTTTGTGGGTGCCGGTGTTGTCAAAATCCATAAATCACCAGAACGAAGCCGAAGCAGATCACTAGT